GATGGTGCGAAGGGGAGAGGCGAGTTGACGTACCCTTTACTGCGCGATAGAGGGCATCAAGGGCGGTCCAATCGCGGAACCAGGCCTCCTCTTTGAAGTAGACCTCCTCGCCCAAACAGAGACCGGAGTTCCAGAGAGGCCGCAGCCTCAGGTCGACTCCGATGACGGCGAAGACGAATCGGCCGTGCCACTCCTGTCCGGCCGGGGCGAGGTGGCGACGAGCGGTGAGCGGCAGAAGCCGGTGCTCCAAGAACCGGTTGAATGCGTCGCCGACGGCCCGAGTGACCAGAAAGACGATCCGACTGGCCTGAGAAAAGAGACCGGCCGACAACCGCGACCAATCGGCCCAGAGGTCTCGGGGCAGACGGTCTCGCGAAGGTGGTCCCAACAAAGCTACTTGGGGATAGTGCTCGGCCATGACAATCATCAGTTGCCGGGCGAAGTGGTCGGCTTGAGCGAGAGCCTCTTGTAACCATGACGCCGGGTCCGGCCTGTCGGCGCCAAGCAGGTAGGCCGCAGGCGTGAGGAGGATGGCGTGGTGGTAGCTTCCTCGAGTCATGTCAACGCCGACCTCAGGCGCCGGGCTCGAGTCCGCCTCGAGATCGACTCTCCGGCTTGAGTCGAATCGGTCGGGCGCAGAGGAGCCGATTTCTTGCCAACCTCGGCCCCACTTCCGGTGGGAGCTAATTTCACACCCTTTTCCGGGCCGACGAAGTAGCGTTGGTCAGTTCGGTCACACTCAATCCGGGCAGTCGTGTCCACTCCCTGTTGCCGGGCTTCAGGACCGACTCACGTCTGCTGAAGTTGCCGAACACTTGAAACCGTTTCAACTTGTCCCGACCACGAGCAGATGCACACTCTGAGCCTCTTGAGGCTGTCTATCATAGTCCTGGCATCCGTTGGTGCCAGTGTGTGTTGACGTGTGTTAACACGATGGCACACTTGTGTGTGCACACGCACATACATACCGTCTATCTCTCGCCCTCCTCCCCCACCCAGCCGGGTCGACATTACAGGATGGAGAAGGGCCAATCAGCTGCATGTATGGAGGAGGGCTGAGTGTGATTGTCGACTTGGTCTGTGTGATTGTGCCGGAGGCAAGCAGATAGTTTTCTGCATATAAGTAAGTCGTGTGACATATACGGGCTTGGACCTCAGACCTCAGTCACTCTGCAGATTTCCACACACACACACACACACATATTTACTCAAGCAAGCATACAAACATATACACGCGTGCACACATAGACAACCTCCATTTAGACACGTCCACCTTCCACACGCACGTTTCAACAGGCGGACAAACGAGAGCACTTGCGCAGTTACACAGACAAACTCACGTGCTCAAGCCCTTCTGTATGGGTCTCATTCGTGTCCAGGGGTCTAGTACTTTCATAACTCCCTTCTTCGTTGCTCTCTTGTACTAGATGGATCGAACAGGCTCTGCTAAAGAATCACGTGCAGGGCCTACGAGACAGTGTGAGGATGTGAGGACAGTTTGAGCCAAGAAATGTACAGACTTGGAGCTCTGTCCGGAGGACTTTGGACGTGAAGATTTCTGGCAAATGTCTCGTCCTGTAGCTCACTATTAGTTCGTCTGCCCTGTCTACAAAAAGTACACACCAACTATGAATTACAAACTGTATGAGTCAGCCAAGATCAAGTATTCGGATTGAATAGAAGTGCAAGACTCTCTCCGGAGAACTTCAAATAAGAGATTTGCTCCTCCTAGGCCGCTTAAGGTGATGAAGTAATGATAGCGAATTTTCCGAAAATCACATCGCGACGCCATCAAATTTGACTTGAACTTGACGCCAAAAGCTTTTCACATCCAGACTGCAGCTCTTGTTTGAAGATCTG